ACGTAAGGAGTTTCCAATAAAAACTGCACCAGAGAGAAATGTTGGTGAGAATGTACTAAAAAAAAGGTCAAAGTGAAAAGTGATAGATTCACAAATGTCATTACACATGTTATGACAAAACTGAGAAGTTATTGCATGAGAAAAACCTCACAGTTAAAGTATCCATTTGAAATCCTCACACTTCTTACGAGGCTAAGCTTCCACAAAATTGGGTGGAAAAGAATTTCAGATCCCAACCATCTATGAAAAAAAAACACACTTCTGCGCAAGTTACTGTACATCTGTACAGGAGGGAGTGCTAGGGATCCATGGGATTTCAAAGGATTATAGTCAAATATGATCAATCAATACTGCTCACAGTGAAGATACATAAATGTAGTGAGAAATGGATGTGTGTTTATTTGCTCAGCATCCCATCCGCTCTGTTCACAGAGAAAGTCTTTTTCTGGTCAAATGAAAAGGTTTCTCACCAAATCATCAGCACCCTCTCCTTGAAGCAAATACCATCACAAATGCATATATTATAGCAAAAGCAGCTAATGATCTTAAGAATGAGATACAACTGTGTCAGCAAGCACTGTTGAGAAAGGCATACATAGTAATGATGTTGAGGGCAGTTCAACTCAGAGAAAAGGCACAGAAACTCGAGTAACACCTGTAAACTTCTGCACGTGTCTTAACCGTCAAACTAATTTTCCATCATCCCTGTGCTCATTGGTTCAATCAATCCCTATTCAGCAATGAAGTTCAATGTCTTGATTTTAGAATTCTCATACACATTTTTAAATCCCTCCCCAGTTTCATCTCTCACTAATCTATTGTATGCTCCACCCCAAAATCCTCCAAAATATACGTGCTCCTCCAATTCAGTCCTCTATGAAACATCAAACAATAAACCCTGTGCTGTTCCCTTCTGACATTCAATATTTAATGTCAGTTAAATATACATTCAGCAGCAAAAGTTTAATCAAATTAATTATCAGATACCTTGTTTGGTATTTATTCTGAAATTAACATCATTAAAACAGGTTATCTAATCAATGTGGGAGTTTTCTGTTTATAAGCTGGCCACTGCATTTCACACATTATAATTTACTATACTTCCAAAATACTTCAGTGGCTATAAATCATTTTAGGGATGACTCTAAGTCTTGACAGAAACTACGTAAATCCAAGTTCTTTCTTTTTAATGTTCAACTCAGAAATACACTTATTCAGTAAGTTCACTAGATATTGATTAGGCAATAATTTTTAATCACGTGCATTCACTTGTGCTCAAATATATCTAAATAGGATGGTTCTTGGGACACAGTGGCAGTATCCCCATTTTTGAGCCAGAAGACCCAGGTTCGAGTCCACCTGCTCCAGATCTGTGTCATAACATCTTGGAACAGTTAGATAATGAAACATCTGTGACATGTTAACAGAAACAGAAATATCTAAAAAGGAAAAGTTCTTGTGGCAGAGTGGTTGCGTCCTTACTTCTGAGCCTGGAGACTGAGGTTCAAGTCTCAGCTGTTCCAGGGATGTTTGATTGGCACCACATCCACAAGAATACACTCTCTCTACCATTGACATTCAGTAACAGCTAAGTGTACTACCTACAAAACACACCGTGGAAATTCACCAAAGATTCACAGACAACACCTTCCAAATGCACGACCACCTCCACCTAACAGATACATGAGAACACCACCATCTGAGAGCTCCCCTCCAAGCCACTCACCACCCTGACTTGGAAACATACCACCATCCTTTCGCTGACACTGGGTCAAAATACTGGAATTCCCTCCTGAATGACATCCAGGGTCTACAGGACGTGAGCTGCAGCGGTTTAAGGTGGCAGCTCACCACCACCTGCTCAAGGACAACTAGGGACAGGCAATAAATGCTAGCCAGCTAGCGACGCCCACATCCCACAAGCAAATATAAAAAAATCTCTGAACTGGTTGACGTTTTTTCCTCTATTCATTTGTGGGATGCGAGTGTCGCTGGCTGGCCAGCATTTCTTGCCCATGCCTAGTTGCCCTTGAGAAGGTGGTGGGGAGCTGCCTTCTTGAACCACTGCCATTCTCCTGCTGTGGGTTGACCCACAATGCTATT